ATGGATGTAGACATCCCTATGAGCATTTCTTTAATCCTTACCAGATGAGACCCCCCTCTGGAGGTCAGTTGCTTTATACCTACATGAACTGTTGGATTTACAATGTGAGGCCCGCGGCCACGATAGCTAAGTTGGGGTTCACATAACTCCAATTTCACTATGGTTTATGGTACACAAATAACTATAGTATTCCTGGGGCATCACCATTTTTAGTAGGTAAACCATCTATTTCTATGGGCCATTTTCCATGGCTATGTTAAAGAACCAGAGGGTAACTATAGTTAATAGTTACTGGTGCTTTTGTTAACCAACGTTCACATCACTGGTGGGCCCCACATAGGGTGGATGCGTGGATAACCTACAGTTGGGTGAACACTGACCTTAGGACGTCGGGCCCTACTTTTGTATCCATCCCATATTTCTGGGAGGGTATCACGGGCATATATCATGGATATATAATGGGAATATCCAACCAACAATTGATTATTCTTGGACATAATGATGGTGATTTAATTCTGGATAAATTATAACGACCTCACTGTTCTCCCTCACGGGAAATCATGGTGAATTATAGGGAAATCATCCCCAAATGGCCGCAAGATTCAGGTTGGTGAAATATTATAATTTACCCAGATATTTAATCATATTGGGATTGAAAGATTGGATCTATACGCCCCTCTTTGGCATCTGAACATGGCCCGCACTGGTTTATTACTAAGATATCTTTTATTTTTTGGATGTTTAGGGCATTTGATATATACAGTATAGACACATGTATATATATATATATATGTATATATATACACAACATATCCATATCAATGTTTTTTTGTAGCTTCTCAAAAACCACGCAACGTGTTTCAAACGACATCGGCAGAGAGAGGCAGCAGAGGGACCTCGGAAGACCACGCCTTACTTGACCAAGTATGAGCGCAACTTGGGAGAACATCTTGAGATTTCACCATGCAAAGATGAGTTAAACTCCCACTTTTTTTGCAGGCAAAGGTGTGCGATTTCACCAGAAAGACCATAGGTAAATTAATGTTCCTGCCAGATTTGAAATAATATGAAAACTATGGTAAAATAATGTGGTAAAATAAAAAAACGTACTAACACATTGAGATTTCACCAAAATATGTCCATTGAGATTCAAAGTTTTTTATAACTCCCATGTCGATCTTGGTGAAATGGTAAACATTTGGTAACAAACATATGGTAAACATTTCCATTGATATTCGAAGATTTTTTAAACTCCCAATTCATGAAAAAACCATTGGATCTTAATGGTAAAAACCATGGATTTCACCAGATATTCAAAATCTATGGATATTCCATGTCGATCTTGGAATTGTCTAATTTCATTGGAAACATCTCCAGAAACCATAGGAAAACCATAGGAAAATGATTATGTACCTAACAAACTTGGTGAGTTGGGAAAATTGACAAACCGGAAACCATGCGCTTTTCACTATTAAGATCATAGGGCTGAAACCGGCGTAAACCCGGTTTCAATTTTCCCGTAGACCATTCCAGTGACGAGGGCTTTTTCGGGAAGTGGGTCCATAGAGTTATGGCCATGGCTATTAGTTATAACTTGTTATTTCTATGGGATTATTTGGTATAACTTAATGGTAAATGATGGTAAATAATGGTTAATAGTGGTTGATACTGGCTAATAGTGATTGATGATGGTGAAATAACTGGTTATTTCGATGGGATGAGAAACATGAACCATAAATGGGGTGAGGTAGTACTTATAACTGGTACTTGGAGCCATAATTGTAGATCCAGTGGCATCATTTGATACACGCGATTTTAATCGACTCTGAAGAAGAGACTTATGGGACTGGCTTTGTGGAACTATATGATCTAGAAATATCTTTATCATGAGTTGGAATTCAAACTGTAGAACATTATGCATGGGCACAGTGTCTCTCTTTGTGTTATATATATATATATATATGAAAAAAAACAACACATGGACTTTTGATTATACACTCTGGAAACACTATCTCCACTTCGATACAGCAGTGAATGAAGTGTTGAGGCACAAGCAATGCACGGGTCACGTGCTAAACTATGGAATGTACTCGCACTACCGACAATCAAATCAAACAAGAAAAAACCAAACAGCCCCCCAAAAGAAGTGATCTAGACAGAGGAGATATGTCACCCCCCTATAGTGGGAAAAAACAAACACTCCCGTGGGATTACTGTAGGGGGGTTCTCCGGATTTTCGTATTTTCAAGGTCAGGATCTCGACCTTATCTCGACCTGTCCCACCTGACCCACTAAACAAAGAACATCTGAAAGTTGGGGAAAAAATCGCCAACATTTTGCCATTTTTTTTTTTGGCGCATGATGATAAACCCTTGGATTTGGGGGAGCCGATCCGATCGTTGGATTTGGGGGAACCAACAAAAAAGTGGTTAAAACATGTCAAAACAGACGAAGTTTATGATATTACCCTCTGGTTATGACTAACATAACCATGGAAATAGATTATTTTCCCAGCTAGAAACCTCCATTTATAAGGGATTTTCCATGGCTATGTTAAATAACCAGATGGTATGTCCACAGCAGGTGGGTGAATTCAATATGAAACTGTTTCATTGTCAATACCTCCTTGTGACGATTATTACCTTGGTTGACTTTCCGTTTCAAAGTGGGGCCCCCAGTCGAGCGAAGGCGTTCAGAAACGCCTCAAAAAAGTGGTTGAATGAACTATGGTTTATGGTAGACATAACGAACTAGTAACTATACCCTCTGGTAAACTAACATAGCTATTGAAAATCACCATTTTTGAAAAAAGTGGTTGAACTAACTATGGTTTATGGTTAATGGATGTTAATGGGCTTAAAAAGAAACGTTCACATAACTGGGGGGCACCGTCCCTGAGGGGTCATGATTTTTGTTGCATCCTCAGAATCAGGATATCCCCAAAGCCGGGGGTGGTTTTTATTCCAGAACTATTCCAGAACTATTCCATATTATCCTCTTGTTCTTCATATTGATATCAAAATATAATGTCCCTTCACTGATTCACCAATCAAACATAGCAACGGAAATCCCTTTATAGCTCAGAATATCATCTATATGTTTTCATGAAACGTGGATTTTCCAGTAAGCCATGCTTGATTACCAGAGGGTAAACCATCATCCGCAGATGCCCATGTATCAACCATGTCCCATAATATCACATAATATATGATGTCCCAATTGAGTATCAGTGTCCCTTATTATCCAATAATTATGCCAAGAAATAGTGGCCCTAAAAAAGATTGAATTTTGGTAAACACCAATCCCAAACAAAACAATAAATGCAAGCGGTTCTATTATTCCATTGTAATTATTATATCCCAATACTATTTACATATCCAAGTTTCATGATGATATAAGTCATATCCCCATATATATATACATCTATAATTCTAAATGAACAAAAATGGGGTTATCCCATATATCCATATATATATCCATTATATATCCTGATGTAATGGTATTATCCTATGTGTCTACAATGTGAGTCCCCCAAGATATCTAAGTTGGTGCAAATAACTCCAATAACTATGGTTTATGGTACACAAATAACTATAGTATTCCTGGGGCGAATCTAAACCAACTAACATCACTGGGGGGCCTCACATTGTCAGATATATAATATAATTACATATATATATATATATATATTATATTATCCACTACATATCAGAGTATCCATTAATTGGAATACATTATCCATATATATATATATATATATATCCATTATATATCCTGATGTGTCTATGTATTCCAGATGATTCTCCCATCGTGAAAACTAACACGCATCGGAATCGGCGTTTCCGTTTCGCCGAGGTGCCAGGATTCTGGGTGCCCGTGCCCTACAGATCAGCATGAATGTTCGCCAAGCCCAGCCGTGGATGGCTTGGAAATCAACGAGAACACATCGAAAAATGGCTAGAAATAGATAATAGATATATGGGAATATATCATGGCATAAGGTTGGTGGTTTGGAACATGGCTGGATTATGACTTTCCATTCAGAAAAGGGAATGGAATAATCATCCCAACTGACGAAATTCATCATTTTTCAGAGTTGTTTTTGTCAACCACCAACCAGATAAAAATATGGGCATTTCCATGGGAAAAGTGACAATCACGGTACTTACCCCACTGTCTTTGTAGGGTTTAGAATGGCTGGATGGAAAGCGAGCAATCATGACTTGGTGGTTCATGTATGTTCATGTCAGGAATCGTAAGTGAGTTATAACTCCAGATATACACGGACTAACCAGACTTAACCGTACTTGCAACTGGGAGCATTATAACCCACTTAGTAAGTGGTATGAACTCCATATCTATACAAAGGGAATTTTTGAGCAAGCCATGTTTGATGACGACGAATGGCTTTTGAACCACTATACTTCCATCATTTGTATAGGTCAGCCACCCAAGATTTGTTGTATCATTTTTCACAATTTGCCGTAATCAAAACAGTGCTAGCTGAGAAATCCCCCCGACACATGGAGGTTTATAGAAGAAATCCATGTTCTTTATGGGATTTCCCACAATGTGAGGCCCGATATCTTAGTTGGTGCAAATAACTCCAATAAGTATGGTTTATGGTACTTATAACTATAGTATTCCTGGGGCTTATAAACCAACAAACATCACTGGGGGGCCTCACATTGCAGCGATTTTGGAGGTTTTAATCATTTTAATCAAGGCCATGGAGGCCATGGGAAATCCCGCTGACCTTTCGAGTGCCCGGTTGAGGCTCCTGTGATGGTGACACTGGATGGTGAAACAGACCCCTTGCTGATCGCTGAAAAGGACTGAGATGACGCGATAAATCCATCGCGTCTGGCTGAGATGACCCAAGGAGAGTCTATGATGATGTTTTAGCCGCTTAGCCAAGATAAATATGACTTTGAAGCAAGCAAAAAGAAATGGTTTAAAAAAGGAGAACATGGAGTTGTTTTTTGTGAATCAACTGGAGAAGGTTGGGGTTTTCATATTTGGATATATTTGGTGGTTTCACAAAGGTAAATCCTGCCAAAGTTTGATGTTTTGTCAAATCATGGCCAAATTGAAGGAAGATTTTGGACACGTTAAGTATGATTAAGTACGATTCCGCAGGAATGTTATGTCCAACAAATCCCATTGAATATCCTACAAGGTGGCTAAGTTGGTTGAACTCACTTGGTTAACCTTTGGGTCTATGGCACTGATAACTATATATATATAATTGTATAGATGGGATTATGAACCAACTTACAACTGGGGGGCCCCGCATTGTAGTAGCGTGGCATTTCGCATTTCTAGACATATTCTAATTGAGCATATCTCAATCAGGGTGGATGAACGGGGTTCCCACTAATTTGGCACAATGTGAGCCCACACAATTACCCTCTGGTAATTTAACATAGCTATTGAAAATGGCCATTTATAGTGGATTTTCCCATTGAAAATGGTTATTTTCCATAGTTATGTAAAAGTTTACCAGAGGGCATTTTGGTTGGTTTATAAGCCCATCCTGGTTTATAAGCCCATCCAACGATAATGAATTAAAACAAAGCGATAAACCGCGGTTGACCTATCTACTGTAGTTAGTTCAACCAGCTTAGCTAACTACGGGGCCCCAGATTGCACTAATTAAATATAAGTTGGTTTATACCCCCATTAACGGTCCAATGTGAGGCCACCCAGTTATAAGTTGGTTTAGATTCGCCCCAGTAACTATAGTTATAAGTACCATAAACCATACTTATTGGAGTTATTTGCACCAACTTAGATATCTTGGGGGCCTCACAGTGTAGTTGTTTTATTGCTATAACTATAACCATACTTACTGGAGTCTGTGGGTGTCGGGAAAGCTGCTATGACTCTGATCATCCAGACATATCCAGACTAAACGCTTCGCTGCGGGGAAGCACCGCAGTTGCCATGTTGCCATAGCTTTACATCAAGGTGAAGTTGAACTTGTAAAGTGGGTGCTATTCTATAACTTTAGTTTGCTTTAGTTAAAGGAACCCCATATCTAAATTTACTAAATTAACTATAGTGGTATCTAAACTTATCTGGTTGGTGGTTTGGAACTTTTTTTGATTTTTCCATACATTGGGAATGTCATCATCCCAACTGACTTTCATATGTTTCAGAGGGGTGGCTCAACCACCAACCAGATCTTCTATATTTGTTTTCCAGGTACTGTACGATGATGTTCATGGTCACATCCTTAACTCGCCAGACAAAGAACAGGAGAAGCTATGTCTTTCCGCCTAAGGACTTAGGAACTCTACAGGTTACTCAACTTGAACCAGTATGGTAGATATATCAATAGTTATCTATACTTACTATGGTAATTATCCAACAAACCGTATATATATATATAAACTTATGGATACTTGGATGGTGGTTTTAACCATAGCCGTCAAATACCACCGCTGGCCTGCAGCCCCAAGATAGAGCCATGTATCTACATATGTAGAAGTATCAAAGCATGTCTAGCAACAACAACAAATAACATTTATATATATATATATACAAGATAGTATGTATATATATATATGTTATAAATATATATAGTATGTAACACATGGTATGACATAGTATGTATATAAGCCTATATAACTTTTTTTTTTCTGTGTCCTGTCGGTCGACCGTTGAAGGTCTGGCAGGTCCGGCAGGTGTTTTCCTCGCCGAATCAGGAGCTGATCCGTGGGGTGATTCCCTTCGTGATCCGTCGCTTCCTTCCAGACAACACCTACGAGGATTGGAAGGAGCGGATGGGGATGGGAAGGATGAGAGGGATGGGACTGGAGGATCCACAGATTCTGGGTTTTAGATGGTTTTAGTACAAGGCGTTGCTCTCCCCCAGTTATAAATGGCTCATAATCCCATGAAAACTATAGATATATGACCTATAAATGCCTATAAACCATAGTGAAATTGGACTTATTTGCACCAACTTAGCGTTCACGAACTGGGGCACCAGCCTGTAGGAACTGGGGGTTTCTAACATTTACTACTAACTTAATGGGATAACCTGAGGACTCGGGGATTTTATGGATAAACGTCAACAGCCACTCAAATGAGGCTAAGGTGCAGTTATTTGGGTGAAAGTTTCATCATTTTGCAGCAACATATCACATGAATCATATCTTGATCATATCTTTATCATAGCTCTGAGCAGGATACCAGGATACCATAGGATACCCAGATACCACTGTGATTTGGGTTGAACTCAGCCAAACATGGAGACAGTCTCCCAGTAACTTACACAAGCCGCCTCTTCTAGCCGGCGAGCAAACGATCAAACTTCAGGGAGCAGCGTAGATTTGTTTTGTTGCGACACGAATCTTTGATAGAATGTCACCCTTGATGTTTTTTGATCATCATTCCCTATGGATCCAATAATTAAGTTAAGTAATGTTAAGTACCTTCTTAGGAAGTGTGACTGGGGTATGATGACTTTGTTGATGTAATTGTTGATCATCATCCATGGCAAACGTCACCGGCAAAGCAACGATTCATCTTACTGGTGCGTTTTACGTAGGGAATGGATGGGAATGGGGGTTGCTGGGATGATTATTGCTAGTGATTATGGATCATTCCCAAAAATTCCCTAGTAAGAGCACCAGTAAGTCATTGATCATTTTCAAGGGTTCAGTCTGTCAAAGATCTCGGAGGGACGCATGCCACCTATTTTAAGGCGAGGCCCCAAAATTTCAACACGATAGGGATGGGGGCAGAGATCCAATAAAGAATGGGTTTATAGTATTTCTGTTTTTTTGGGTGAATCTAATAATAATAACAATATGAATATAAATCCATTTTTGTAACTCACTAACTATACAATGTGAGGCCCCCCAGTGATGTTTGTTGGTTTAGATTCGCCCCAGGAATACTATAGTTATTTGTGTACCATAAACCATAGTTATTGGAGTTATTTGCACCAACTTAGATATCTTTGGGGCCTCACATTGTAGTATTCATGGGGTGAATCTACACCAACTGATAACTGGGGCCACCTTGTCCATATCCCTATTCTGTGCAGCAATAGTGATTGGAGTATTTCCCGACCTTGCCAAAATAAATGGCCGGTGCAACGCAAAAAAAAAAGAAGGTGCAACCCATGACTGTAAAATGGTCCACACTTGAAAGTGTACCCCAGTCTAAGGAAAAACATGGAAAAACAAAGGCATGCCCCACTTATCTCTAGGTAGAAAAAACTGCTTTCAGGATATTTTGTTGGTCAAATCCAAAAACTTTTTTTTTGAAACCCCCTCCTTTGCACATTCAATCCCAACGGTGCTTTGACCATCTATAGATGCCGTTATACCGTTCCAAACTCTGGTTACTTCTACCCTACCAATGTTCAGTGGGTTTAAGCCTGTGAAAATGAACACGATGATTTGAAACAAGTCCATTCCGGATCAAGAACCACTGGTTGATTAATTAGGGGCTAACCACCTGATAGTGATTTCTTGAAATAGTCCCTGCCACACTTGAGCGGCCAATTGTTTAGTCAGGTCTCAGAGCTCCTCTTCTTGGAGTGAGCTGCAAGCATCGCGTGTTGCCGCGGAAAAAAAAACAGCGACCAATGATTGCCAATGGCCCCTGTGGGGGTGTTGAATCAACACAACCCCAGTGCTTATCTCAAAGATTGGCTGGACTAACCCTGCTGGGTGAAGCCACCAGGCTTTGCCATTTTTTCTTTGGGAACATGTGTGCCAGGGTCAAAAGATAGGTTGTTTTCCGAGAAAAGAGCATGGTCATACCCCCAGTAGTAGCGTTTCATATATCCTGCATATAACAATGTGAGGCCCCCAAGATATCTAAGTTGGTGCAAATAACTCCAATAACTATGGTTTATGGTACTTATAACTATAGTATTCCTGGGGCTTCTGTTAACCAACGTTCACATCACTATATGGCAAAGAATGGATGACCATAGTAAATTTCGTGAAGTCCTGTTTATTTGCCCAATATGCGTTTATGGTCCAATTCTGTTAGCGGGGGGGGTCAATATGCGTTTAAGGTGTATCAAAAAAAACAAATCGTGCGCCATGAACGCATATTGGGGAATCTAACCACTCATGTCAGGAAAACCCATTTACCAACATTTACCATGAATGCAGGGAACCATCGAAAAAAAATAGTACATGTTGCGAGGTCCATTTTTTGTGTAATATGTGTGTTTAATGTATTTTGGGTGGCAGGGACCTTAATTTCCCTTTTCAGTGTGAAATAAGATTTTGGCGGATTTCTGCCAGCTATACCAATCAACCATGTGATTTACTGGGTTTGAGGAAAAATACCATCGGATTGTGTGAGGATATCATCCGAATTCTCTCAGGATATCCACATATAACCTATATCAAGAGAAAGTTCTTGTGGCAGTCAGAATATCCTGAACGTACATCAAGACAGTTTCCAAGATTTTTTGGATGTACATGATAAAACTGTTTAAAGGAAAATGAACAACATGGCAACATGTTCAAAAGATAAAATGGGGCATTTTGGAGGATGTCACTTTTGGAATCTGATGGAAATTTCGTTTTTGCGGATACCATCACAGTTTCCGAAGGATAAAACAATCTCTGAGGATCAGAATTTTCTGAGAAATAATTCTCTGACGGTATCATCATAAAGCATCTAGTATGTTCTAGGATTCTAGGATATCAGCAGACCTCTGGGGGATACATTCAGAAATTTCTGAGGGTCATCAGATTTATCTGAGGATATCATGAACCATTTTCGAGAATATCAGGATTTACAGATGATCATCAGAACGTTTGAAGGATATCATGAGGAGTTTATCAGGATATCATTTTCGCGACATGCATCAGGTAATTTTGAGCACGGAAAAAGAGGCAAACACAACAAGTCAAACAGCGCGTGCTGTATGTATGCAAAATAACGGCATGCTTTGTGTTTGTTTCTCCTTTGAGAATCAGATTTGCCAAGGTTCATCATTCTGACAATCTCTGGATATATCTGGTGATTGAATATCAAATACATTTGATGATTATCATCATGCTTTGGTCTATTTTAAAATAAATATAGCTTTGATGGTCAGGGAAAAACAACAAAACAAGTAAAACACACTGCGTGTTGTCTGTGTACACAATAGGGCCGTGCTTCGTGCTTGACTTTGCTCTGGGAGATTTTTTTTTGCAACGATCGTCGTGCTGACGAACACCGGATATATCCAATGTTTATTGGAATTGTCATTAACCGAAATTTCTGGTGATTGTCAAAAAAAATCTAAAGAATCCTCAGAATTATCTGAGGATCGTCATCCTCAGAATTTTCTGAGGAACCTCAGAATTTTCTGAGGATCGTCATCCTCAGAATTTTCTGAAGATCCTTATGCTGAGAATTTTCTGAGGGTCCTCATCCTCAGAAATTTCTGAGGATCGTCAGAATTTTCTGAGGATCGTCATCCTCAGAATTTTCTGAGGATCCTCATCCTCAGAATTTTCTAAGGATCGTCATCCTCAGAATTTTCTGAGGATCCTCAGAATTTTCTGAGGATCGTCATCCTCAGAATTTTCTGCGGATCCTCAGAATTTTCTGAGGATCGTCATCCTCAGAATTTTCTGAGGATCCTCAGAATTTTCCGAGGATCGTCATCCTCAGAATTTTCTGAGGATCCTCAGAATTTTCTGAGGATCCTCAGAATTTTCTGAGGATCGTCATCCTGAGAATTTTCCGAGGATCCTCAGAATTTTCGCTCAATAAGCGTTTTTGTTTCATGAAAATGTGCCAAAAAAAACGCTTATTGTCAAACAAAAAAAAAGCTTATCGAGTGAAAATTCTGAGGATCCTCAGAAAATTCTGAGGATGACGATCCTCAGAAAATTCTGAGGATGACCTCAGAAAATTCTGAGGATCCTCAGAAAATTCTGAGGATGACGATCTTCAGAAAATTCTGAGGATCCTCAGAAAATTCTGAGGATGACGATCCTCAGAAAATTCTGAGGATGAGGACCCTCAGAAAATTCTCAGCATAAGGATCTTCAGAAAATTCTGAGGATGACGATCCTCAGAAAATTCTGAGGTTCCTCAGAAAATTCTGAGGATGAGGATCCTCAGAAAATTCTGAGGATCTTCAAAGAGTCTGAGGATGAGGATCCTCAAAAAAAGCTGATGATTCCTCAGGAAAATCTGAAGGCTCCTCCGAAAATTTTGAGGGTTCCTCAGTAAATTTGGAGGAATCTCCAGAATTGTTTGTTTGGTAACCATCAAAAAGTTCTGATATATATATATATATATGAAATTATGCTAATCAAGGATCAGTTTTTGTTGCAACACATCAGCTACAAAGTCCGAGGATATTTTGTAGCTGATATTTTCAGCACAAATTGCGACTGTTTTCTGCGGATATCACCAGCATCTCATCATAACCTTTCTAAGGATATCATCGGAATTATCATCAGAAGTTTGTGAGGATTATCGGACCTGTCTAAGGATATCATCAGAATGGATTCATCAAAATTTCAGCAGAAATTTAGCACGTTACCAGCCATAAACTCTGGGGATATCATCAGGATTTTCTGATACCAGCCCAGAGGATCAGCATATAGTTTCTCATCAGGATGTCACATGACATCATATCACCAAAGTTTTCGGAGGATAACATCAGAATTTTACTGTAGGGACCGTTTTTTTCAAAATTTGAGAGCCGCAACGCTTCAAACCGTTTGGCTTTGAAAGATTGGGGCGGTTGTCCTCAGACTTGTTTGTTCGTTATTGGTGCCGCATGCCAACATGAATATGTTGTTTCTTCATGAAGCGTTTGTTCGTTTGACTTTCCGCGATAATGATAATAACATTTAGTTGTGAGAATGCTGCTCAGGATCATCCAGCGGATAAGATGCTCAGGATCATCCAGCCGAGAAGCATGCTATAATGAGATTCCATTGCAACAAAAATAAAACTTAAATGACTATATCAACGCAGATTGGCATATAGGAAAGTGAATATTTTTGTGGTTCCGTCACTTCCAAACAGGCGATATGCAAATTTACAGTCTAATTTGTCAAAAAGGAAAACAGCAAATGTTGTTTTTCACTCTCCAAGCACTCAAAACGCATATAGCGCAATCATTATCAGAAAATTGAATAAACCTTAAGCTCAGGAATGGCAAGATCTGACAATGTTTGCGGGTTGAATGTCCGGGCAAGGTCCTGCACATACCACCGGGAAAACCACTTGCTCAATATGCGTTTTCAACTTAGAATCATCGAAAATTAAGCGCAAAAACCTTCCATTTTGAGCTTTCATGTAGTCAAAACGCTTATTGAGGGTCCACCCTCAGAATATTCGCTAAAATTAGGGTTCACGAAATTCCTTAGATGACCATACATCTTCATGCCCAATGTTTTGGCCATGCCAATGGAATGGACATTGAAAATCCACCATGCATGGATTACTTGTCATATCTGTCCCTAACATGGCATTTCATGGGGGACTTCACATTAGCTGCAAACATGCAAAGTGGTTCCCCGAAATCCTTAGCTAAGATGGCTTTTAGATAGCTAGCAAGGGTTATATGTTTTATATGGTACATGTATCGCATTAGTTACATATGGATGATATGATATGGTTATAAACTGACACACATCACTGGGGGGCACCACCTTATTTCATCCTTTTCCACAAAAAACAATTTGATCCATTTTTGGGTATACCGTATACCGTAACGTATGCCCTTTTTTCGACCAGTCCAATCTGGTGTGAGTGCAGTTATGGCCATTTATAACTGGTTATTTCAATGGGATGAGAAACATTCTATAAATGGGGTTTTGTTAGGGCCATAACTGTGTATGTTTCCGTCTCTTCACGTTTTTTACTTTGGAGTATTTTGGGTGGACTCTATTCTCAACATGATTTTGTGTTTCGGGCAAAAACTAAAAGCCCTGAAACGTGATGTGCCGGCAGAATGCCTGCATGGAGGTAGCAGTTTGGGGTCCCAAACAAGAAACAGACATGTCTTTTTCGTCCGCGATGTTAGTTTGGTATAGTTTGGTGATATTTCCATATGCACCTTCCAAGGTTTAAGCTTATAAATATGTTTGAGGGTTGCTTTCCATGGATATTGACTGTTACGAGCCCCTTTTGGTACTAATGCACAAATTGCCTTCATTCCTGTATCAACAATCAGCCAATTCTAGATGCACATGCCACTCTGTTGCTGATGTTGTCAGCGGCCCATCCCTCATAGCACTCGCAACATGAACCAGTCGGATTTCATGGAGGATTTCATGTCGAGAGAATGGGTGATGTGCCATGGCAATGTGGGGCCCCCGATGTGAACATTGGTTTAGATTCGCCACAGGAACTCATTCGTTATTTGAGGTATTTGTGTACCATAAACCAGTTCGTGATATTGGAGTTATTAGTTCACCCCAACTGAACGCTATCGTGGCCGGGGGCCTCACATTGCAGGATGATCCGCGTCATGTTTTTGGCCCACCAGGGACGCGACGTTGCGTTTTTGGCCCAAGATCCGAAGTCTTCAAATTCAAGAGATGCCTTGGACATCCCCAAGCCATCAACCCTAAGATGAATGGCAAGCAACCGGAA